CGCGCAGGATACGCACCTCGGTTACGCGATGTATGATATTTACACTAGCGTTACATCCTTTCAAGATTTTCGCCCACTTTGTGAGAGTTTCCACGCGGTGTTACTTCTCAGTGGCAACGCCACCGTACCGATCGTTGAACTTGAGCCTCCTCTCAAATCGCGTCAAGTAAAAAGAACGGCTTCTGCACGCTCGACCGGCGGCGTTCAGTCGTTGTCGACGCGCGTCAATCAAACGGGCCGGCCTTGCTTGTTTTGTGGAACAAAGTGAGCGAAATAATACGCCGTTGAGACACGTGACCGACACGCAAAGTCTTTCCGCCCAGACGATTCGCGCATCTGTGGACGTGCGTTCTTTTTTACGGAGAGTGACGTGTCGAGAATCGCGGCAGGAAGGATCGCGTCGAGGAGAAGAAGGAGAAGCAGCGGCAGAAAAGCTCTTCCCGCGCGGGTTTTCCGCACGATCATTCGGCCACGCTGCCGAGTCACGAAGGAGCACGCTGTTTCGCCCCGCGAGCTCACTTCGCTCGGATGCGCCCGGAGTCTCAAGGCCGCACGTATAAGCTAAGCGTAAAAACTCTCCGACCAGTAGAAAGTATACGATTAGTCATCGGGCGATCGCGCCCGCCACCTCAACCTGTTTTTACTGCTAAATCAATTCTTATTTGTGCGAGTTTCCACACATCGATGTGTCGCAGTGGCTCGCGACACATAGAATAAGAGAGAGAGAGAGAGAGAGAGACCGGTGGAGGTTCGCGACTCTTTCCGATTTTTCGCTATCGGAATCTTCAGGCAATTGTCGCGATTGATTGTACACAGATGCGGCAGCCTTCTTCTGTATTTTTCCGGGTAAGGTAAGGTCCTACAAATCGTACATTTTTCTCGATAAAAATTCTCGGAGGGTTCGAAACACGTTGCAAACGCGTTGCAACGAAGAGTGTCGGCCCGGCGAAGAGATACGCGTCGCTTCGCGTTCTCCGTCTGCATTATTTCTCGAATAGCTTCGCGTTCGGCGTGGAATCGACGTGGTGCCGTCGTTCCACGAGGGATCCGCGCTCGAAACGGCCCTCGCGCGCGCGTTTATCGGAGAGTACGTTCCGCGGAAAAAGTTACGAGGAATCTCGACGTCGAGAGGAGGAGGATCGCGGCCATGGTACAGACATCGGCGCGTGGAAGATCGATGTCGATATATATCCGATGGTTTTATTTCCCGAGGGCGTCTCGAAGACGACGCGTCGATGCCGATGCATTATACACGCGCTGAATTCCCGAGCATCGCCTTCCGCTAAAGCGAGCACTTGAGCGATCTACTATACACGTTAGGCATATAATAGCTACCACTATACTCTCGTACCGGTCGAACTAGTTTCATGCTTGGTTCTCCCGCGGCCTTGAGGCACAACACGCGTTGTGTTTGTGTGTACCACGGTGTCTGCGCCGGTGGTTGTCGAGAAAGCCTTTGCGGCCTGTCTCACCCGAGGTGGACCGCCATACCGCGCGCTCCACGTTGGCCTTCCGCAATTTTACTCATTACAATCGTACTCTCTCGCGGTTGCTCTCGGATAGATAAAGTGGCTTTGAGCTCGAAAACGCGGATTATTGCTATTTTCAAAGCGATTTGAAACGACGGTGGCGACGGAGATATGCGCAATCGAGCGACCACCTCGCAGGCGGTTCGCGCCCGTTCGAGATCCACGCGAAAATGTCAGCTTCGCTCGGCAATGTCGGCTTCCACATTTTAATATTTCAGAGGCCTTAATCCCGAGCGAAAGAGTCGTCGGTCGTGAAGTAATCGCGAGAGGATCGCCAGTCGTGAGGTAATCGAGTTAAACGAAACAGCATTAAGCTCTAATTAAAATGGTTGTAGCGTGAAATGAGTTTTTTCAGAATTTCTTGAGAAATTCCCTTGCTCTATGTATAGATTTAAATATGACTTAATTATCGACGTAATTAAGATAACGCGATAACAGAGTAATGCCATTTATTGTCATTGACTTTTCATCCGTTGGCCCTATTCAGGTGGTCCGATTGGAAATTTTCGATGTCACTGTGCCTAGAGAGGTTGCATTTTGTGGAGTTTTCTGTGCAGAAGAATCAGTAGTACGACTCTTTTGTCGCGGGACGACAATGCAAAAAGGCACGCCTTAACCTGGTATGCCAAGGTGGTTCCACGCAACAAAACGGAATTGTTCGCGGTGCGCGTGTGAAGAAGAGAGAGAGAGAGAGAGAGAGAAACAGAGGGGAACACGGTCGAGTCGGAACGGATTGAGCGCGACAGCCAGGACCTCTGGCCCGCGGTAATTATCCGGTGCTGTTTTATTACGATCTTAATTGGTGCGCCACGCCGCGTTCGGAGGCATTAGCCGTCTTCGGAACAATGCGCGAAACCGGAACGCGCCGAGTCCCGACAACGAGTGTAATTGAGTATTTCGCAATCGTGACGCTTTCACGACCACGCGCGCTTTTGCGCGCGCGCACCTTCTCCCGCATTATCGCCTACGCGGTGAAAATATGTTATCAACGGCCATTGCAAAATGTAATGACGGCGTTACGGCTCACTGAGGCGTGGAGGACATCTCTTTTCTCTCTGTCTCTCTCTCGCCCTTTCTCCGTCGCAGGAACGTTCAATGGCCTATCGCGGTGAGGGCGACGTTTATCCGGCGACGAGAGAAGAGTCGAGGGCGGAATATCTTTCTCTCTCTCTCTCTCTCTCTTTCTCTCTCTTTCACTTGCTGGTTATCCTCGCTGAACGAGGACGAGTTGCCTGATATCTCGATCGTTGGTCGTAAAATACGCCTTATGAATGCTGAAATATATTACTTACATACGACACGTCCTCGGGAATGCGCGAATTATCAATATAATTCCGCGACCATTGCGAGGTAAAAGGACATATTTGTTCCCGTTTACTTCTTAATACAGTCGCTACGATCATATCTAAATATTATATTTACACTGTCATACTCTCTGCGTCAAAGATTGTCTACAACATACGTGTAATTTTTTGCTACGATTTATATAGTCGTAACAGTTATCACGAGTTGTCGCCATATTCACGCGCGGAACATCCGTTCTCTTCGTTTTTTCTACTCCTGGATGTTGATTTATGCCAACGTAAGCTCACGGAGCGACACACACACACACACACACACACACACAGCGGTGAGTGAAGTATCGAACGTGTTAATAATCGCGGGGTCATTAATAAAGAATCGTGTGCGCAGGTTTTGCGGCCGATATTGCGCGCGCGTTTTATAGGCGAATATCCGGCACGTCGCGTCCATGCTGGGAGATATTTCTTAATTTCGCGTCGGTGTGTTAGCGCCGTATCATTAAAGCCCATTAGGCGAGCTCGAGAGCGTCACCGCACTCTCTCTCTCTGGGCTTGTAAACGTATTCGATACAAATTGCCGGGTAGACCGGCGAAAAAAACTGTTGTGCATAAAATTACGCGTAACGGACACGGCAGTCGAGGCTAATCGTCGTAATTCGAGTAATAAATCGTCATCCCGACATGTTTCCGATGGTTCTCATCGTCGAGACGGATGAGGAGGAGATGTCGACTCCGTCGTCGAATGTCAAACAAAAGAGGCACGCAGCTGTGATTGGTGAAAATTACGAACGAGCGGAGAGAGTGTCGACCTGGATACAATGAGTTCGACGAGCCCGAAACGCATTATCGGCGCGCATTATCGAGGCCGCGCGCCGCCGATTAGCGCGAATGGATGTACCTGGGAAAGTGATTTGTTGCTCTTCGATATAGACAGCTCGTTATCACGGGATACTTTTCAGGGTAACGACGTATAACGTCCGCTTAGCGCGAAACGAAATTTCGCGAAGCGTGTCCGAGAGAGCTTCGTTGAGAGATTCGTCGGGGATTAATAAGCTGCGCTCGTGGGAGAAGGTCGGTGAATGGACGGACGGTCCGGAAAATGTACCGTCTAAGTTTTTTCTTGAACTGGAAGCACCTCGACGTCAGCGTTTTCACGTGAATGTATTTTTGACGATTCTGCGTCCGACGGGTTCCTCCGGAGGATCGTATCAGTGCAGAGACGCGAATCAAATATCTGTGCGGTCGAATCGAATCTCTTTAATTCGAATCAGGTTTTCCGGATTTACGTTACATGTTGATCTGAATATGATAAAGTACTTTTAATCAACAGTGATTTTATTCGATTCGAACGATTCGTACATCTCTAGTGGAAACACGTGTGAGAGAGAGAGGGAGAGGTTCACGTCGGCGTCTTCTCACTGAAATCCTCGGAGCCGTGACTCGCGACTCGCGAGATACTAAATTCTCCCGAAACTGCGCCGGCACACTGAACACGTGGATTTATTTCCCGGAGTTTCCCGAGGGAGGGGGATGGAATTTTTCCGACGTGTCGTCGGCTGCGTTACATTTCGCGCGTGGGAACGCGCGAGAAGTTGTTCTCCGCGCAATTTAAACGTCGACGTTTGCTAATGTGCATTATTAATCGTCGCGAGAAATGCTCGGTGCACGGCTACTTCGGGAGAGTTTTCAAACGTCTTTTACTTAAGATCGCGTCTTAATTACGAGAGTAGATGGAGAGAAGAATGGAAAGGCGATACGCGGACCAGAGGTACTGTTAAATTCTCACCCTCCATTAGTAATGAACCATTAATATTAATTAAGTAGCGTAATCTCTTAATTCAGCCCGGCTAGGAAGTTCCTCGTTAAGAGGATATCGAGTCTTTGTTTTCGTGCACACGCCTAAATAGCTATTTCTGCAAAATCCCGACAAGTTATAATTAAGGAATAACTATCTAGACGCGCTTTGTCCCGATTAAGATCGGGGGGGGGGGGGATAAAATAAATCGCGTTGTAATTATGGTCTTGGCTGCACGTAGACTCGACTCGAAGGTCTACTTTTTTCTTCCCGGTGTCATCGAGACGAAGACGTAACTTTACGTAGCGATATTTCGCCGGCCTGTCGATTTTTGTCCCGGTTGAATTAATCGAAGACCACTCGGTTGCTTTCCAGGACGTGATGAGCGAGTACGAACGAATCAAGCGTTCGTGCTTGAAACGAGGCGAGCTCTGGGAGGATCCAGAATTTCCAGCGACGCAGGCGTCGGTCTTTTATCACCAGACACCTCCATTCCAGTTCCAATGGAAAAGGCCGAAGGTAAGCTGGCGATATTTTTTTAACGCATTCGCGCTACGCATATGCGCGACGCGTTCGATCCTCTCGTGACAGAGACTAATGATACACATATGTGACGCATAAATTAAACCTTTCGATACAATTTTTTTGCACATGGTTAAATAATACGTACCGTATTGCGCAAAAAGTTCGATAAGTCGCGGTGACTCGCACTTTTTTAAATAATTCAATGAAATGTAAGGGAGAGAGAGAGAAAGAGAGAGAAACGTTTGAAGTGACAGCTTTCAAAATTTAACACAATAGGCGAGTTTGTTGAGTTAACATAAATTTTCTCTTTATCTTTGATCGCTAATTATCTTCAGAAATTGTTGAAATGTGCGAAACAAATAATTAAATCGTGACGATCGTGTTGTTGAAGAATGTATATACATGACGTGTCTTCTCCATTTTTGTAACGCGTACTTTATTTTGGCGCGCTTTATTACTCAGGTTCACAGAAATTAATTTAGATAAGCATCTTTATGATCCGGAGACACCAGTTGAAAATTTTAACCACTCGGTTAAAAAGTAGCATAATAAGATGCTTCTTTCTCCCGTAACGAGGACGAGACAGCTAAAAGTTGGTTCACTGTTTCGCCGGCTGTTTGATAAGCGATCCGGTTGTTCCTTCGGGAACAGTCTGAAACCAAACTAGCTTGCTCGGTTCGCTCCAGTTCCTGAGGAACGGAAAGACGCGCACTAAGACGTGGGGTTTAGGAACCGTAACGAAAACAGTTCGCAACCTTGACACGCGGCTTCTCTCAGTCCCCTACGTGCTTATAATTGTGGAACAACGTATTTTCTGGTCAGGACGGGACTTAACGGAACCGCTCATCAAGCGCTGAAGTGATCTCTCTGCCGTCCCACTAATCACTTTACTCATATTTGTGCTTTTGCACGCAATTATTTTCGCATCGCTTCACAAATACTTCAGTCACTCGGGATACACCGATTTCTGTAACATTCAATCCTCTTATAATTATCGGAAATCACCACTTTGATCGAAATTATCTTTTTGTACGGACACGTTAACACAGACATATTCGATTAGCGGGAAAAAGGTTGTGATATTTTTTGCCTCGATGAACTTGGGAACTCATTCGGTATCAAATGGGAAAATTTATCTTCTTGAAGATTATTAAAGGATAAACTCCCCTGTTGTGAAGAGATGCATTGATACAGATTACGAAACTGTTGTTGAAAAAAAATACTGTCTCAACCTTTCTTTCACTGGTTGTACGCAGGGTATCAATCACTAAATATGACATCCGCCATATAGTTTGGGCGGTGTGAGTAAATTTTGCTAACAACCGCGCAAATTTTGTCAATTAATAATTAAAGAAGCATCTATAAATGGTCATTTTCAATCCTTTATAACTCAAAATTTTGCATGGTTCTTTGTCAAGTGGTAAAAGACTCTCTTGCTCACATTGATCTAAACTACAAATATATGACGGAAGTCCCTTAGCGACACAGACACCCTGTATACATCTCACTTTTCGGACATGAAATCCCATCGTTACGTCAGACGTCGAGATCACTTCCAAGTTTCCCTTCCAATATTGAACCTCGACGGTCTTTTGGATCGTTACTCCTGCCGGGGGTTGAACGAGATTTCTCCGAGATCCGGAACGTAATCGCGGTTTTAGAATATCGCGGCGGGAATTGGCTGGCGGGATCAACGATCCTGCGGCGTCGTGATTACGCAACGCGCGCACGATGAGACGAGAAACGAGCGAGCAGGTGAAGTCGGCGACGCGTAACCGGAGTCTTTTCTGCTTACCGAACGAGACATTGCGCGGAGACCGGCGCGTATAATAATCGCAATAAAAGTTACCGGCGGCCGTGCGTATACACATGTTGTATCTACGACAAGGTCGGCGATTGCGCGCTGTGCGTGTGTGTCTGTTCGCGTCGCGCTTTTAACACCGTCACCGAAGATCGCTCTCTCGGCTCTCTTGCCGATCCGAGTCACGATCGCGCGTGCCGACCGGAAATACGCGCCGAAAGAGGCAGGTATTGTTACGGCGGCGCACGGGATGCGGAGAACAGTTATTTAATGCAGCGGCACCGATTATTGCGACGCGATGAACGGCTTCGTGCCGCTAATGCTTGGCATTTTTCCACTTGGCACAAGGTAACGCAGTCACGTGTGGGCGACCATTTAATCGGATAATCATTTGCCCCGGCGCAATCGCCTATCGTAATTATGCCCCCGCAAAAGTGAACGCGTATTTCGCAAAGCCTTACTATCGGCGATTAAATCCATTACGAATCGATTATTGGGGATTACAAAAATTACAGTGGAGATTCGCGATGGTGCGTATGGCCCGTTAATTGCGAGGAAATTGCTGATCAAAGATTAGCCAATCGGAAGCTCAAACCTCATTTTGCAAGTGAAGTTGAAGCTTCGAGGCCCGTTCAAAAATATCAACAGTAAGACGTAAATAATAAGCAAACTAACTAATCATAAATGATTATGCTTGGAGGAGGATAGTCGACTTTGATTGCACAGATAACAAGATTTCTTTGGATTTAATAAAATTTCTTTAATCGAAACAAATTTGACTTTTCGCCTAATTCAGAGAAATTTAACGACTAATTTACATTACGTTTTTTTTACGCATTCCCCTTCTCGAATTAACACAGATTCGCACGCATCTCTTTTGCCCCGAGCGATTTTTAGAAACTGGCGAAATATGGCGAAGGGATCATCAAAGATATTTCTCCTCTGTTTCAGGAATTGTGCAATCGGCCCATCTTCGTCAACGATGCGCCGGCTCAGTTCGATGTCATTCCTGGGAAGATGGGTAAGTTGTCGCGTTATTATCCGCGAGAGACAATTATATCACGCATCGGGAAACGCGGGTGGCGAGTATGAAATACGCACGCGAGATCGACGTATTCTAAGGAAGGAACGTAACCGAGGGCAGACGCGTGCGCGTAAATAAACGCCGCACGAAAGGCATCCAGCAATAATGGAACTGGTCGTTCCGCTTTTGCCTATCCTCTTTGCCCCGGCAGCGCGGAATTCCCTCGATAGACGTAATGATACGTTGTGCTCTTGCGCGTGTCTGAAAACCTTGGGCTTCTTCCTAACTCCTCCTTGCGAGAAGCAGGAAAGGTTACGCGAGTTCACTACCACGGGTCTCGGTAATCGAATATTAAACCTCCACATATACACGGCCGCTCGTTATCTGGACTTTGACTGAGAGTCGGTTCTGCAATCGTTCAACGAGCGACTATTTAACAACGCCGGTCGCAACATCGAGCCCGAGTTCTTCGAGAAACATTAACCCCGTATATTATCGGGAATATCCGCCTCGGGCGGATATAAAATGGATTTTATTCCTGAATGCGCAGTGTCCTTAGAATTTTACATGTAAATAGAGAAGCGTTATTGAATAATCTGTTTCATTGACTATCTAAAGTACACGACTTAGTCGTCATTTTGTTTAGCGACTGCGATTAAAAACACACGATGTAACGGTAAGTTGCAATATTTTTGCTAACATACAAAAATGTGTATACCTCCGAATAAGGTTGAACTTTCGACCTATGTTTACTAAAGTTTTTTTACTCAGTATGGTGTGTATTATCTATCATATAATTATCGAGTGGTTTTTTTGAAAACCCCGTTTAATTTTAGTATATATCATGACTAAATGAAATCTTTTTTCGATGCCAGATTCAAACGAGAACCTGTAAATTATAGAGAGAGTATTCTTACTTAGACCAATTATAGAAGTTAACTTCTTGACAGCTAATCTATTCTCGCTTGCTCCAAGTAGTATGTTGGGAGTCCGTTTGCCCCAAGTCCAACCATGCGAATAAGATGGCGACTTTCGATGTATCGAACTCAATAACGCTTCTCTATTTATGTATCAATGATTCTCTATGTGTTCCGTTTTTCACGCGATTATTCGAGTTTATTTGATCTACATTTGTGCTTGTCGAGTATGATCAGACATCGGGCGTTGTTCGAGCGAAGGAGACAGAGAGAGAGAGAGAGAGAGAGAGAGAAAGATCCTAAATATCCGAAGTTAGCGTACGGCAAACTTGTAATGACGCAATTACCTGACGCCGTCTCGAGTAGAGCTGGAGAATCTCATCCGCTATCTTCACGGGCGAAAGAGCGCGAAACCGCACGAACCCTGAAATTACCTCGGTAACCTTTGACGAACGTGAGAGATAACACGTGGTTGCTACCACGAGCGACACGGGTCGAACTTGTTACGCTCCTTTTTTCCGCGCTTTTGCGAGCGGGGCAGGGAGACGGCCCATTCCCGCCGTAGTTGTCTGTGTTTTATTTACTCGCATAACGCCGCGAATACGCAGAATATTTTCTCGGAAAATATTCGGCAAACCTTAACAACTCGGGATCCACGACTTAATGTGCGAAAGGATTTATTCGCAAGACGATAAGTACATGGAGAAGATTTCTTTAGATATAATAAAATTTCTTTAACTTTGAAGCTAATCTGTTTTTTTTGAATGGAGCGAACAAACGAAGTTTGTGTGAGAAATATAACTATGTTGGAAAATTATTAAAGAACTTTTTTGTTTCGGTGGGGAAATATATAGTATTGTGAACAAAGTTGAAGTGTTTTTCCGAGATATTCGAATCATAGCGTCTGCGTGAAGTTTTCCAATCGGAAAAAGAGTAGGATTGAATTAAATAGCAATGATGCAAAAATATATCGATATTTCCTCGCCGCATCTACATTATACATGAGTGAGAGTTGCGATTATCGCGAATGATATCAATCAAGCAATTAAGGCCCTTTGCGTAGCTGCAATTTCTCAAATATTATATCGCGATTAGCGTTTCAGCGCGCGATTGGTATTTGCAATCAAGTAGGCTAATGAGGATGACGTTGGCAGTACATAATCGCGGTCGAAAGCGACGCCCGCGATCGGGCTCCGACAGACGTAATATTTGATAAATGCGCTCGGGATTGCCGCTCTCGCGTATTAATTAAATTAGAAAGTCGCACGCGCGCGCGTTCGTGTGCCAGATACGTAAACGTCTCGTAATTCACTTGAGAACTTAGCGCTAATTACGCTACATCGTGAAAATAGTAACACTTGCTAAATGTTACGTGTCGTATCAAACGTCGGGATTATTTTCTCGCGATCGTGAACGCGCAAGATCGAGGGATCGGCGAGCAAGACCGCGAATAAAATAAGAGCTCTCTCGGCTCGTATCGACAGCAAAGTCTCCGCGTACGTCGCGGACGAAGTGTATTTCACTTCAGATTCTCGATCTCTGTCGGGAAACGCGAGGACAGGAAATCAAACTAGTTCTCGGCTCATGGTGGCGACACCGGCCGGGTTGCACCGGTTAAATACGCCTGTCGTGGTGTTTTTGTTGCACAATGCAATTATCATAACGAAGTTTCACATTCCCGCGAGGAGAAATCTTTTTCTAATCTTTCGTCTCTTTTCGTGCGCGGCCAACGAGCGATCGCGTTGCGCAAACCGAGCCTACCTGCCGCGAGTCGCGTGCGACATTTTGCAATTAGGGTAACCCGTCATATACACCGCTAAGAGAAACTTAATCTGCCAAGTATTATTTATTATGTTTAAGACAAATGCATTATACAGATCAAAACTGGATACGAAACGACGACGACGAAACGACGCGCAAAAATACATCCGCGTCCCGACGTACAGTTTATTCGTTTAATTGTCCGTCGTCAACGCCGGGACGAACTTCTCGATTCTTCTTCCGGACGAGCTCTTCTGATGATTTGTCCCGCGATATTTCCTTTTTATTCCCATTGCAATCAGCCAGATGCGCTGGGCGCTCGTCGGTCGCGCGGTAATCATCTCGCTTTCTTCGGGCTTCGCTCTCTCTCTCTCTCTCTCTGTTCCGATGGTCGCGACCGGCTCGGAAAATTAAAACGAAATGCGATTCCACTATCTCGCGAGCTAATGCACCGTGCAGCGTTTCCCGCGTCGCAATCCCTTCCGCGGCTCGGTGACTATAATTCACGAGTTGATCGCGCCGCCGGAAGTCGAGCGCTTCCCCAGTAAAGCCATGCAGACGCGCATTCCTCAAGATATAACTGCGCTTGCTATAGCACGCGCGCGCGCGCGTGTCCCGTTAACGTGTACGCAACCAACAGCACGCACAGCCGGCCGCGGGATGATGACACGTAATGATTTATATACCGACCTACATTGCGACACCGCAAATTCGGCGCCGGTCCGCCTACCTACCGATGGCCTTGCTGCCTGCGCCCGCAGATCGATCCCGATCGTAGAGAAGATCGGCACGTCGCGGAGTGCGGCTTGGACGTCGAGTTCCGACATCGGGGAATCGTGAGGGACGATTTTTCACGAAATTTTCACGCGCAAAAGTCACATTTAACTCCCGAAGTAACTGAGTAATTTTATTTTGAATAATAATAATTATTATATGAACGATTGTATATCGTGGCAGTTAGAACTATTATACGAGGCGTCCGATAATCTTCTCGGGAACTGAACGGGAAAATTATGTACTATTGTGCAAAATTCTCAGTAGTTAAGATTCGTGGAGATGGAGTAACACATACGGAGTGTCCGGCCTATCGCTTCCCGTGCGCTCATTAGATGGTACAGATGAAATAATTTCTCATTAGCTATTGCGAATTTTCCATCGAAAATATATGATACGTCACTTTTCTGTTACACCCGTTCTACTTGCGCACGGATCCCGAGGAAATTATCGGACATCTCGTACATATGTAGCAATTTTCCTTTGTCCTTTGATTCCTTGATTGATCCTGTTAACTGTAACGTTCCGCCTCGTGACTCAAATTGCACACTTAGTTTAATAAACCGAATAACGAAATCACCTCGGAATTATTGCGGAATGGAAGCATGTAATGGCGGAGTTAAACTGTCGTAACTGATGTTTACCTAATTGCTTCTCTATGGAGCGATCCGTACGGAACGCGGAGAGCGATTATCGAGAGTGAGCAGCGTAAATTCGCGATCGGCGCAGGATTCGTTCCCGTTTTTCCTCTCTTTTCTCGCGTCTCGAGTGACAAAAAGCCTGCGTAAACGCGAGCCGTTCGATCGGCGATTAGAGACCTTCGGAAACGAAAGTAAAGTGAGCGAACGCGCGATAGAGCGCGGTGTCGCGCTCTTGGGTCCTGCACAATTTTCTCACAACATTACGACACGCTCGACAAATATCGCCTTAGTCTTACGCCTCGCAAGGGACTGTGACGTTAATCTCTAGAAATAAATCGTACTCGAGGAATTTGAGATCGTTCCCCGCGAAGATCCCGCGCAAACCTCGCAGAGACGAAACTTCCCAGTTCTAACTCGATTATGAGACGAATGTTGCTCTTCAGACTTTTTGGTGTCATTAAACGTTGTCTCTCGTCAACAGGTGACAAGTGGCTGGTGTCATGCCTGGGTGTGCTGCACCTCAGCAAGGGCTTGTTCTACAGGGTGGTGCCGGCCGACCAAGGCTTCGGGAGCGGCGGGGAGCCGCCGGGCTCGCCGACCGCTGAGTACGCCGGGGTCTTCAGGTTTCGACTGTGGTGGTGCGGCGCGTGGGTGGAGGTTCTCGTCGACGACCGGCTGCCGGCGGTTCACGGCAGACTGGCCTTCGTCCAGAGCCGCCATAGCGATCAGTTTTGGCCGGCGTTGCTGGAGAAAGCGTACGCCAAGTGAGTACTGTTCCGATCGTCTACCTCTCGTAGCGCCGTTTGATACAAATCGAGGCCGTAGAGAAGCATTTTGTAACGGCGGTTACACGACGATCTCTTCCCTCTCGCCGCGAGAGATCGTGGAAACCTCGCAGGGCGAGATACGGGGCGTTATTATTACCGGCGACGGCTTTCCGAGCCGAGCCGCCGTGGGCGGCGTGGGCGTCCACCAGGTGGCCGTTCAAGGTGAGCTCGCGATGGCGCGAGGATCGACCTCACCGCGTCCGATCGATGAACCGCGATCATCGCTCGTGGCGCGCGTCAATGGGAATTAATCTGGCGCCTCGACCTCTTCTCGGGGATGATGATGTTTCGCTCTGTGAATTTGAGCCGAAGACTTGCGTAGCACGGAAGCTTCAATCGATTATGTAAAGGAGGTGAGTTAACAAGATGGCAACATCGTCCCGAAACGAGCAAAAAATAAAAAGAACCCCCTCTCTACGCATATTTATATAAGCATTAGTATGCCGACATGTGCACATCATACACGCGATGTGTATAAGCTGTCAATTGTGTTTGGCGGAACGAGTGGTCGGCGAACGAGCGACGAAAAAGATTCGCGGGAGAGATACATCGGCCACGAGTCGTGAGAAGCCTGCGTATTTTCTCTTCTCCGGTAAATTCATATTCATGCGCTGAGAGAGAAAAAGATGCTACATTAAAATGAATATTTGCCGAGGAGTGTAAGAGTGAAATTATGTTACTTGAATGTGGCACGCTGAAAGAAAAAGTGCTGTGTTTAAGTAACATTTACTTCCGATAGTTCGGAGGAGATCCAACGACAAACCCCCTCCACCCGAAGTCGTTCGTTCGCATAGTCGTCATCCATGCGATTCTGAAGCGATCTTGCGACTGACCACTGCGAGAAACGACGGATTTCGTGTGTGGATCAGCAGAGCGCTGCGTGTGGAACAAACAAACGCATGCACACACATATATATATATATATATGCGTCAGGTCGCGCCTCGCTCGTCACGTAGATTGACAAGCGGGACGCAGAGAACGACGTAGAAGCTGAGCTCGCCTGGGCGGGCTTCATCTCGCGACTTCATCTCGCGACGTCGGGATCCGTGGCGCGAGTAATCGAGGCGCGCGATCTCTCTCGCCGCGAGATGGAAGTTGAGTTTACGCGAACGGACGGACGGACGAACGAACGAACGACGATGACCGGTTTTGCCGGAGGTCCTTGCTCCTCTTCTTAATCTTCCCCTGATGACCGTACCTACCTTCGTTCCTCCGCTACCACCTCTTTTCCCTCGTTACTCGCGTCGTTTTGTTCCTCATTTCCCTCTTCTCTTTCTCTCTCTCTCTCTCTCCTTCGGTTTCTTGCCCCATCGTGAGCGTAAACTCCGTCTGGGCGTTGCTCTCGAAACTGCTCCGCAAGGTGACGACGTCGAAAATGACGTGCCTCTCGCTAGACAAAAGGGAGCCGAGAAAGTCGCCGTACGAGACCGAGGAGCAATCACCTGGCGGTCCTTGCGCAAGATTACGTCGAAAATTTGGCGCGTACACGCCCCCTTTCCCTCGTGTCTTTATTGATCTTACTCATTACCGATGAGGTGAGGACGGGAGTGACTCTCGCTGTTCGAGCGAGGCTCGATGAGTTCTCTCACCGCGAGAAGCGAACCATTTGCGAAATCATATCGCCTTATCTGCGCACAGAGCGATATCGCCGCGTTGTCAGGTGTGTATAATCGCGGATTATTGCACGGATACTCACTTAGCTTACGCTACACTGATTCTCGCTTAACCCAGAAACTGCAAGTAACCTTGCGATAATTATAGAATTTTTTTTCGAACACTTCCTTTCATCATTATCTCGGGTTTAACTGACAAAGATGCTCGTAGCTGTAAGAATGTTGAGGCCGGTTGTTGGTGATCGTGTAATTATTATAAAAAGGAGGATATTAACAAGTTCTTAACGAGGCAGTGCGCGGGCGGTTTTACTTTCGTTAACTATATGCTTCGGCCGCAATTATACCGCACATATATTGAAATAATGATGGGCAAATGAATATGCATATCCGCCACGGTCGAGAAAAATCGGGCGTACAAGTGGCTCAAAGAGAAAGAAACCTCTCGTTCCGCCGTTTTTCCCGAAGAACTACGTCCGAAGTACAGTTTTATTTGGACAACGAATCTAAATAATTAATTTGCGTGAATCTCTCGCGGTGTCGCCGGCAAACAACGGCGTATCGCAAATCGGCGAGCATGATGTGTGCCTAGTCAACGACCGTGAACGCACTTTGCTGCAATTTCATCGTAAAACGCGCGCCACTTTTGCGTCACAATGTTACGTACACCGACGTACCGCATATGCGTGTGTGCGCGCGTAACAACGGAGCTCGTCGTGTTAGCGTTCGGTGAAAGCAGAACAGGACTGCGGGATTTTTTTACCCGACAGCAGACCGAGCTCTGTAAAAACGTTCGACGACGGATTGTTATTATTATGTATACATACGTGCACGCGCGCGTGACAGGTGTGTGTGTGTGTGTGTGTGAATCACGTGCGATTCTCCGCTCGGTGGAGCGCGTGAGATGAATCAAACGATTGACATTTGTCGTATCGTCGTCTGTATGTCCGATTACGAAGCGACGGATACGTCGAGGCCGCGGATCATTAATAATTAATGACGCGCCGCGGATTCCCGGCGACTTCCGTTCGGCGGTGTCGGCGTGTTTAGCCGCCGCCGCTAATTGACGTTGCGTCTTCGATTTGAGGCGATCCTCGAACGACTTTACCAGCGGATAATACGATTTCCCATTGCGAGCGCCGATCGTAATTACGATTACGATAATAATTGCCGGCTGGTCGTGCGTCTACGTACGCGCGCGCTCGCTTACGTCTCGCGACTCTTGTGTCGCGCGACGCGTAAGACGGTAAGGAAAGTCACGCAACGCGCGATAAATCCGGCGCGATAATATTTATGGTTTCGTGAGCGTAAGGGAAACGCACCGCGCGCTTTTCGTGGCAGAAGAGTTATGCAACGTAATGCCAATAATTGCCGCGCAGGGTAATCACGCGGTGCATCGCGCGCGCGAGCGAGCACGGACGATTATCTGAATAATTCAGTCACAATGTAACCCTCACTTTGATGCCTCGTAACCGCGCGTTAAATCACCAGGCTTGATCGTATTAATTGCTAAACGCGCCCGTCGACGGCCGTGTTACGTCGCGATATTTGCGCGCGAGCGCACGTTGTTACGAGCTGCATGCATTACGGCGCGGATTATTCTTATCTGGACGATGGATTTCTAGGCGAATTTTTTCGCGATAATATGAATATGTCTCTCGCTTGAAGCGGAATAAACAAAAAAGGTTGAGATTTAACGGAATGGCAACACTTTGGGACGAGAAGTTCTCATGACAATAGTCGAGCTTGTTGGGTAAAAGTGTCGGCACCTTGTTAAATCGCAATCTTTTTCGCGTTATTAATTAATAATTAATCTTATATTCCAACAAAAGAATGTCGAAAAGTTGATCTAAATATTCGTCGTCTAGACAGAAATCCCCCCACCCCCCACCCTTTAGCTGATGAAGTTTCAACATTCACCGAGCCGAAATATGCCGGTCTCTATTGAAGCTCTCTGTGTGCAATTCCACGGCGCACGATTGTACTGCAGATTCTTCACGCGAAGTAAATACGTATCGCTTCATTAATATTGTAATACCGAGCGTATCGGGATGGCTAGTTGGATTTATAATCGCGTCGTTGACACACTTTCGCAATCGACGCTATACACACACACATATATATATATATATATATATATATATATATATATATCTTTTTCGCTGAATCGTGGTCGATATAGCGATGTATTAATCGCGTATTAATGTCACGCGCGAACCAGTAAATCATTTTAGCGATGGCACACATCCGGAGATCGCAGAAAATAAATGGAAGCGCGCGAGAGAGAGAGAGGATGGGAAGGGGGGGGGGGATTCGTCCCCCGACCTTTTCTCTTTCACGACGACCCTGCTGCAAAAGCCGACCGATCCGGAACGATCGCGCCCGGCTTCGGTAAACCAATAGCGACATCGAGAATGAGTTAGAAAGCTCTCTCGCCCGCCCGCGTGCCGATATACGCAAGAAGAGTATGCGCAACGCGCCCCTCTCGTCGATTTCCATTAGAAAACATCGCTCGGCGAATTCCGCGCGATGCGGCTCGGTCTCGCCGGACGCGGCGGGCTTGTGTTTCACTTTGTTCGCCCGCGCTTTTTGCCCGTTTTGTAGAAAGTGTCGTAGCAGCGCCGTCGGGAAAGACCGTCAATCGGGAAAGCACGCCACGGGAAGATCGGTTCGAGGGCGTGTGTTGAGAATCAACTGTTTACTGAGCGATTACGAGACGAACGGAATGCAAAAAGGAAGAAGCCGATGGCGAAACGAAGACGCGTCGAGACACGTGGAGAAAATCTGATATAATCAGCTCGGCGAGATTCGATCGGGAAGGGGAGGGGGGAGGAGCGTAGTCACGTATTTTACATAATTATAAATTTTTGCGTACACGTGTGTGGCTCGCGTTATTACAGGGCCTCCTCCCTAGCGTTTCGTTTCCATTAACGAGCAACGCAGCGGGCCATTATGCGAGGAAAACCGCGCAATTGAGGGACACGCGGATTCCGCGAGGGGTTCTCAACAGGTGTCCCGCCGTGAGCCCCTCGGGTCGAAGGCATTCGCGGCGACCCGAAAAGAAATCAGGCGGCGGAGATATTCGGTCGGCCGGACGTGCGTGGCCGTACCTGCTCGCGTACATACGCGCTCGCTCGCTCGCTCGTTGCGCGTACCGAGCCGTCCGCAGGCTCCGATACTTTCACTCGGCAAGTAGTCGCGCGGTATCACGCCGCTCGCCGGCAATGGATCGCGGAGGTCAGTGCACCGGTGACCACGCTCTCGTCCATGCTCGTATCCGCGAGCACGAAAGCAGCGCGCCGATAATCCCGAAGGTGGATGCACCGCGCGCCGGAGGATGCCGGCCGATTTTGCCCGTTCGACTCGCGGTTATCTGCGCTGTGTCCGCGAAATCGCGCGAGTCATCGCGCTCAGGTAGATAGGCGCTGGTAGGTAAACTCGACAGGCAGACCGAGTTGGAATTTTTCGGGTCTACGTTCGAACTTGAAATTTACAATACAGTGGAACCTGAAAGATAGCACAATATAGATTGAATTCCAATGATATCATTTATGCTTATCGTGGCCACGATAACGTGTCAAATTTTCAAGTTTTCGTTGTTCTTAACGTTAAAACAACTTGCTCTGGATATTCGTATGAATTTAATGGTTTAAATATCGAGAGGTGTTTGTAACTGCAAGGTAGCATTAAGATTCCGTAGAATCGAAGGTTCTACGAAAGTAGTTCAAGAGTTACAAGTTAACAAGTATAGTATCGTAAAGGTAGGTTTTTAGTCTATCGGCCATCTAAGTATGCCGCAAACTGTCCTCGAGAGGGCAAAGTAGCATTAAAATTTCGATCCGGCCGGAGAGTCCACTTCTTGACCGCCGCTTTCCATACGTCTTGCGTAAGGGAGGAAAAAATAGAGCGGGATTCGACAGAACCGATAGCGTGACGCCTGTTCGAAAGGAACGGAAAAAATGCGAAACTGGTAGTCGCGAATTTGAAAGAAAGTAAAAAGGAGCGAGGGGAGGGAGAGGAAGGGAGAAAAAAGGAAGCGGCCGATATCGCGAGGCACACGTAATGGAAGTTGTCCGGCTAGCGATATTCAGCGGCCAGAGATTGCGTCGTGGCCGACAGCCGCGTAACTGGTCGCCGGAAGGTTTTCGCTGTTATTTTTAACAAACGTCGCGCTTTCGATTTCTAGCCGCCATCGGCTCGTTATTTGCGTCACCAGCCGTCGTCAGCCAGGTCGTCAGCCGGTTGTAACATTTCAGATGTTTTTTTTTTAATATTCCGCTCCATACGGAATAAATTCCGTAAATCCCGAGCCTTTGAAACGACATCAGAGAGAATTCACGTGGCTTTTGTATGTGCGAGAGAAAAAGAGAGAGAGAGAGAGAGAGAGAGAGAGAGAGGCAGAGAGACCTTTGTGCCCGAGTTTCTTTGTAATCTGCGTTCTCGAGAGAGAGGGAAAACAATTATAACAAAGAAAACACAGACGAATTGCGAGTCGCACGAATAAACCCTCGCTTGTCTCTCCGTTCGACATAGTATTGCGACGATGAAGGGAGAACAATTCCGCGATTCGGTCACACGCGACGCAATCCTCGAGGACGCCGGCGCGATGTTAATATGTAACAAGTGCGCGGTAATAGCGGAAGACGATCGACGACGACGATGACGTGGGATGATTGGTAATGGAGCGAGATAACGCGACAATGACGATGCGCATACGCGAGAGCGGGCGCGCTCGCGCTCCGTTAGACAAACGCGGAACGGAAGTGCATCAACGTTGCAACGTGCATCTAACCGTTGAGTCACAAAGTGACAACGGTCGAGTTACATAGGCATCGCGGTGTTGCAGCTTCGGTCGAAGGTGCGGTGACCTCCGCCGCTGGGGGGGAGCCTTGCTTGCGAGGAGAGAACTCCCCGTTGCTGGCATTAAGCGCGAAGAAAGACGAACGCTACTTCGGCCGGCTTGTTGAGCAGCAATTAGCGACACCTGCGATGATACGCGCTTTAAGATTTCTATCGAACAGAAGCCTCGAACGGCGCGTGCGGCCGGGCTTTGATTTTTGCACCCGTGTGATCTCGAGTCGAGACTTTCGGGATTTCTTCGGTCTTTAGTTTTGTAGCATAGTGTGTATAGAGGAGTCAAAATAACAAGATAGATCCCGTTTTAACGATATAATTTATTTGATCTTATTTTAACTATAACGACGTCCGAAATTCCCGTTTTCGTCGTTTTTAACGTCAAAACAAATCGTTCCGAATATCCCAGGATTTCCCTCGGCTCCCGGAACACTCATAAGTTGAATAACCGAAATATCGAGAGCACTCGTAGCTTCAAGACAGCACGGAAATGAAATCTGTAGAATTAAGGGTTAAGAGCGTCAAAGCAGCGTCGAAATTTCGACCCGCGGTCGATGCGATCTCTCGCACGAGTCGGGCTTTTCATACCTGTGCAGCTGCGATCACGATCACTCCGTCGTTCCTCCCGTCGTTCATTATCAGCGGACGATTAATCACGCAGATAACGATGCCCGCACGTCGATGTTACAAACCCGGAAAACACGGAAAGCAGAAGAGTTAGAAAAGAGCCGACGAGGACACCGATCCAATTATACGCCCGGGACCTTCGTCATCATCATCGTCTTCTTTTTCTTCTTCCATTTCACTTCTTCTTCTTCCTGCCCGAACGTCATGTCGTACACCTCTCTTGAGAAAATACGCAGGTAACACTCGTGCGTGCGAAAATGGTTACGGTTTTCAGACGGGCACGAACACGCGCGCGAACCGCACGCGCGATAATAAAGAAAAGGCGTCGACAGTCCCCGGGACGGAGGCCCCGTTATCTCCGGAATGCTAATTCCCGCAGGAGAACGGCACATGCAAGGTAGAGATAATATCGAGTCTACTCCCTTGATTCTCCCCCCGCGAGTTCCGCCGCGAAGCCACTTCGTGACCTTCTTCTTTACCGTCTCTCTCCCTTTGTCCGCGCATAGGTCAGGAACGGTCGTCCCGCGTAAAACGGCGATATCGCGGCATCCCTTTCTGCGATTTTCATCCGGGCGGGACCGGGGGGGGGG